CTACTAATAAAAGTAAAATAATGACCCTGAGTCATATTATTAACCAAACTGAAAAAACTATAAATTCTATAAAATAAATAAACATAGAATGAAAATATAAATAAGATTATAAAAAATTAAAATAAAATTAATTCTGTATACTTTAATTAATTAATATAATCAACCCCATCAGGTACTTATTATACTCCTAGGAGTAGAGAAGCAATGTAAAGTGTCTTGTTAAATGACACAAGCAAAATTTACAGCGAGATTGAAATTCAAAGGTTGAAAAACAAAGCTTTTTTTTGGCCATGCCAAACCGTTTCCACAAAAAGCACTTCATAAAATAAGGAAAGGGACTATGCAAAGGTTTACTGACATAACATAAGAGGTAGTTCAACATTATCAACAATTTCACAAGTGCACAACTTGGGGGGTGGGGGTAGACAAATTTGTACACTCTTACAATGCATAAATATGTTGATTCAAAATAACATGCAATATGTAAAATAATAATGTAGCTATTGATATAAAATTCATTTTTAAGTAACCAAGTACAATGCTTTGGTTGACCTCACAAAAAATGGAGAATGATTTTGTCAACATTTTTTGTACACTTTCGGGGGGAGGGGGGTTCCGAACATGAGTATTGTTTGTAGACTTGTGAAAATGTTGATAATTATGAACAATCGCTAACATGATATAAGAATCAAACATAACATACATCTCTTTGAAAGTAGTCAGAATTACAGTCACGATTTTGAAATGTAAGTAAATAATATCACCATACCTCATGTTTTAATAGAGTACTAAAATGATTATTTCTGAAGAAGACACATGGATTGTCATCGTTGATTGTGCTGTTTATCTCACACAGTCCATGATATGTAAGCTGGGCTGCAGTACTTTCTAAGAACTGCTCAGCAACTAAAGCTAAAATTGGTACAAAATAAAAAAACAAAGTATAATTTAGTTTTACTCATTGCCACAGACCTATCAATTTGACTATAAACAGTATCGAAAAATATATTAAATGTTTAATCTATACAGCCGCAAAGAAGTAGTAAATTATAGTAATGCAGTTCTCAACACTTTAAAATAGCCATTGCCAAACAGGCTAGGTTAGCATAACTGTACAAATTGATTCTGCTAATGACAGTGAGAGCAATCTCACTGAGTTATTAACCTTACACACTAAATGCCAATATACATAATTTTTAATTGTAAAATTATTTCAATTTTCAGGGAGAGGACATTGTGTTTATGTCCTCCTGACCTTTGGATGAAAGTGGAACACCCCTGATACTATAGATACACTATCTTTTATTAATGGTCCTTTCCTGATCTTATACACTATCTTTTATTAATGGCCCTTTCCTGATTCTATAGATACACTATCTTTTATTAATGGACTTTTCCTAATCCTATAGATACACTATCTTTTATTAATGGCCCTTCCCTGATCCTATAGATACACTATCTTTTATTAATGGCCCCTTCCCTGATCCTATAGATACACTATCTTTATTCCATTCCTGATGATGACATAATTAGTGTTGAAATATTGAATCCCAACACGATGGCGTGCATTTCGATACTTGGAGTATATGTATTATACTATCTTATCCGAGAATAATCAGTGGACCTTTCAGCTATCTTTTATAATGGCCCGGTTCAGAGGTGTCAATCAAACTTAACAACTGACCCAATCAGAACAGGGCCAGGAACACGGGCGTCTCAAAAACACATGTTGTCCCACAAACACATGTGCGTATGTTCTTACACTGTCATTTTGTGGCACCTTGGCAACAATATCCAAGGGGCGTGGCCTAGCGGAAAGGCCGATTATAATCAACTCACCACTTTGTAAAATTTGTGGGTCTCCAGAAGATTTTCCATTGATGATTTTTTCAACTAATTGGTTGTAGCTGTGAGTGCCAACCGCTGACACAACCTCTGGGTTTTGTGGGTCATAAAGCCATCCGTGACAAAGTGTGATGTTAAGAAGATCGAACACTATACATTCTGAAGTATACTCAAAGTCTTGAACGCTAAGAAAAAAAAAAATATCAAAGGAATATATTGTTATCACTGCATCATATTCCTCAGAAAAACAATCCCTAGATATGCCCACTGCTCCTATATTATCATATAAATCAAACACCATCATCATTATACCTTGGGCTATGATTGTTTCTGAGCCCCACAGTAAAAACATCACACTATCCATGAGTCCTTACTTTAATAGAGGTTTAATCTACCAATGATGTTTTGCATCATCAATGAAATCCAGTGGATAACGACGACTCATGGGGCCCGGGGTGAGAAATTGATGGGCCCAATGCCTTTTAGTAGTTGATTACGAGTGGTCCCCCCTTCACAGATGAATATCATGCAATTAAATACTGTAGCGTGTAATATAGTACTATAATTTATTTAGAATACTCTGTTAATGTTGGGTTGTCTTCTACTGAACCATGTCAAAGCTCGGTTAGCTCATTTCATTCTGTATTTCTATCATCACTCACCCTGTGAACTTGACGTTAACGTCCAAGCCTGTCTGTAGTTTTGGCAAGATTGCCATGGCATCATCCATATTCTGCTCGTAGTTTCTCTGCATATCATTGGATGCATCCTAAGCCAAGGGAGAGGATTGGTTATATATATAAAATATTATCAAATAATAACAAAACTAAATAATAAAATTAACAACAAACATTTTCTCAAAAGAAAATAAAATTTTAATTTCAAATTTTCGTAAATCCAGAGATTTTAATTTGCACCCTGGACTCCTTTTATAGTTTGTATTATTTTTCAAAAAAATCGTCAGCAATATAATTTCAAAATGCTCTGCATTATTACTGTAAAGCTTTTGTTTCCATACAATCGCCTCACGCTATCGCCGACAGCTTTCGTTGATGCTGATTGGTTGGTCGTACTGGGGAGATTTCCCGATTATGTTGGGACTGATACGCAGTATGACGTTTGCAGTAAAAAAAAACTGCAGCAATAGTGTAGCGATTCTTAAAGAAACCAAGTTTAAACTGGTCATGGGATATAGGAATCATACAGCTGACGAGTCGAGTGGCTGAGCGATTATGGCAGGGTCAAAGGTCGAGCTGCACAATTGCCTATGGTTCTAGTTCAATTTGAGGAATATAAAACATAGGACCTGTGTACTCAAGATATGACCCTAGGGTCAGAAAAAGGTTTAATATTGTACAAGCTAGTCCAAGCAGGTCCATAACATGGGATATGCCTCCTGTTAGGTAATATCTTAAAATTTTACTGTAGGTGGAAAGACACCTAAACTTGCCTAAAATTGTGAATGAAACCCCCAATCTTATAGCTAATGTCTCAATATAAAAAAATCACATGTTTATACAATAATACTCTGATTGTAAATTCATACATGCTGTTAATAAACAATTTGTAGGAGGTTAAAACATGCTTACAGCACTTCAGTGTTAGTTGAATTGAGCACTGTAATATGCTTGTTTTAACAAACCACTAAGTAATATAAATAATAATACTTTATTTAATATATAGTGCATATTGTGCAGTGTATATTATCTGTAGGCCTAGTACACATGACAGTTGGGATAAACATCTTTATTGGATATCCTCTAAATGTAATTGAGGGTATATGTACTTTCATCCTCATTGTTGTAGAAAAAGTAAAATATTCTGAGTTATTAATCCATTAATTGGCTCTGAGGATCTGTAACCTGCTTTTATTTAATTGTTAACTGGGTGAATATACTCTATTGAAATCATTATAATATATCATATAGTATGAATAATTACATGTCTATCAAATGAATATCTCATGACTATAGCATGACTATTTCTTAATATCATATGACTATAAACTGATATTACATGTAACATTTAATTATAGCATGATTATCAGTATCATATGACTATATTATTAATATTATATTTTATGTATAGTTTCATGACTAGATCATGTACCATACAGAATATGACTACTGCAAACTATTTTATTACTATAGCATGATATTTCATGTAGTTTCATGAACTAAACTGCATAGCATGACTATTTCATGACTATTATTCAGAATGACTATCTCATGACTAGACTATATCTTGAATAAGAAATGACTATACATGACAGTTGCAAGAAAGCCAATGTGCATCCCTTGCCCTTCACCCATTCCCGCCTCCTCTCTAGAAATACTCAAAGGGAAAAAAATCACCTACTCTATCACACTATTTTGCAAGTTAGCAGTCCTCATATAACTAGCGAGTCCCCCTCTTCACAATCGTGCCCTCTCCCTATTTCAAAACTCTCGGACACGCCACAGTTGCATGGCTACTTTATGACTATAATAGCCTGAAATTTCATAAGTTTCATGACTATCGTAACTAGAGTATGACTATCACATCACATGCCACAATATTTAAAATATTACTAACAGTTGGTCATGATACTAAAAAAAAATTGAATTACCTTTGGAACATATTCTAGTATACAATTGCCAAGGTATTCCATAAGTTGATGTGCGGTAATTAGTTCTGCCGAGTCCTGGAGTTTGACTTTACCCCTGAGGATGAGCACGTTCATAATCGCTATTAGTGGACACGGACCATTTTCGTTTTGGGTGATAATTGGAGTCTTCTGATTATGCCATTTGATCCATTTTATATGGTAGAGGGATACAGCTGGTGTTGCCGCTGCTGAAGTGATATAAGTACCAGTTATAATGTACGTACAAGTTAACATAAAGTCAAAATTAAAAATAACTAAAAAAAACATTAATTAATAAGGAAGGAAGTCAATCCGCTTTGGGATTAACACGTTGACTGCCAGACCATTTTTTTAGGTTCCTTCCCATGCGCTAGAACAAGTGTACATGTACAAACATAATTTTTTGAAATTCTATCTACAGTAGTCATACTGTATGATCAAAAAATGCGTCTGATAAATTGGCGGGAAAATAGTAGAGGACGAGTAAACTCGTCGCCGGCACTGAGACAGCATTTTTCTTTGTCTCTGCCAAGTGCGAGTTTTCTCGTCCACTTTTTCATGGGCCGGTATATGTTCAGTGGGCACCCAACTTGCACAATCGAGTGTACTGCCAGCACTTGATAACACAACAAACATACATCTGTTATTTTTACGTTATCGTTTAGAGGTATCTTCCCCAAACTACCAGTCGTTAAGTCTGTGGTTTTACAATATAACAAAGAAATAATAAACGCTAGAATGTTACCCCGATTTTGACAAGTATTGTCATCCCTAGCGCCCTCAGCAACTGTGGGAAGAGTATACTCGTCGCTGACAGCCAACGTGTTATTAAAGATATCAACATAATTATATAAAGACACAAGGTACTGTTTACTATAATTGAATGGAATGCAGTATTACATTAACTCACAATCTGATAATGCTGAATTCTCAACTGGTTTTGAAACAACAGTCCCTTCAACATTCTTTTCACATATATTGTCCAATATTGCAGATTCTTTTTCTCCCTCCTGTATTTCGTCTTGTTCTGGAGGGGTATCTACACCTGTCCTTGCTTCCATATCCTTATGTTCAGTTGACTCCAATGTTGATTCATCTTTACAGGATGGGTTCAAATCTTTTTGTTGATCAGGTCCCGTAGGAGATTTGCTAGTAGCATCATTTGTTACTACAACAGCATCGGACATTTTGTATTGATGTCACGAAAACGCACAGTTAATTTCAGTTATGTGTTTTGTATGGTTCTGGATTACCCTTTTTGGTTACAATGCTGTCTAGCTGATAGCAAACAACCTATAAAGTATGAGATAAATTCAAGTATACATCAGGAAAAACTCCAGTGGGATTGAGTGTGAGAAAGCTGTTTTATATCATTTTCATTTGGATGGATGGATGGATTTATTTGGTGTAAACACCAAGAATAACCCATGAAAGTCTAGAAGAAGACTTATTTCCCGTGGGGTCTTTCTGGTAGTGATTGGGTCGTACACTGGGAGACAATCCCATACTCTTTTCCGAAGAATGTACTGCGTTCTTTAATGCGTACACGGGACCAACGGCTTAAACGTCTAATTCGAAAGATGGTATGGTTTTGTACGGTTCAGCGCACACACAGTGACTACCACCAGATTAGACGACATAGCTAAGCTGCTCTCACCTGGCCTAATGTGCATTATGTTATCTTAAAGTCTTCTAAAAATCATATTTTTATATTAGTTGCAAACAGAACATGCTCTGTCATCCGCATTTTTTCTTATTTCATTTATTTATTTAGGCACACAACACATACAGTATGCACCAAGGATTATCATACCAAATTATATACAGACTAAATCTCAATATCAGGTTTAGGGAGTGGAGTTGTCAGAAGAAAAAATCCTGCAACACTGGACAGGAATTGAACCCAGGACCCTGGGATTGGAAAGCAAGCATCCTAACCACCAAGATACTGTATTCAGCTCCACTCCAGCTGTGTGGTTCAGTTTGGTTCCATGTGTGTTTTAATTTTAGTACTTTATTATTATCCATGTATTCAGTCTGTTTTTAAGAACTGCCACATGTGGGATGAATAAAGATTGATTGACCTAGAATAGGTCGATAGTAGAGTAATGTAGGCCCAGGCCTAGCCAGAAGACTATAAAAAAATTGAGGACACATACCAAAAAAATGTTAGTCAGAATTAGGCCCAGGCTAGGCATCAGTAGCGTAACACCTGTGAGTACTCATTGGTGCATTCCCGGGGCCCCCACCTAAAAGGGGCCCTGCTACTACTACTAGTCTAACAGTTTAACAGTGGCGTAACAACTGTGTGCTTTCCAGGGGCCCAGTCTTAGTCCAAATGGGCCCCGAAGAGGCGACGGGTCCCCCTTCCTACTCCAGCACTCTATTTTTATATAAATTTCAAAAATTAGTGGAGCAGGGGCTCCAGCATTTTGAGACAGAGCTTTGATGAGCTGTGTAACGCCTATGTGCTTTCTGAGGCAAATGCTCAGTTGCAAGTCCAAATGAGCCAAGAAAAGCCTGCAGGCCCCTCTAGAATAACAACTACCAAGCACTAAAAGGGCACATAGAAAAATTTATATTGATTATCACTCCTGCCCGCGTCAACAATTTTGGAAATATTGATGCTGGAATACTTTCATTTTTTTTTTTCAGTTTTTTATTTATTTTTTTTGCACATCATTTATTTTAACTGCATAAACAACTTTGCAAAAAACAAAAAACAGATGCTCACAAAATATAAAAGAATTGGCTCCGAAATCGGCAGACTTCAAACTCTTCCAATTTGATTAGATCAGATATTGAGATCGCCGTTAAGTTGAATGCAACCCCCATTTTTTATACTTGTAGTTTTCTGTTGCTAAAAATAAACAGCTCGCTAACTGCGGCTAAAAATAGGTAACACCGCGGTCCGTACCTGAGGAGACCCGCCCAATGGGCTGCTCGGATGTTAATTCACAGCGCGAGGACTCGGGTGTTCCACAGCTGCAGCTAAAAATAGGCAACACACCGCGGTCCACCCCTAAAGAGACCCGCTAAGTGGGTTGATCGGATCGTTGATTGAAGACTCAGCATGAAGACTCACCCACACAGAGACTCTTGCTGCTATTAAAATAACTTGTTAATATCATACATTACAAGCGGCCAGTCTTCCTTTGCGATGGGTGTATTTGGTTGGATTGGTTGTTGTTGGGAAAAAAAGTAACCTTAGACATCAAATTAAGGCAAAGACTGGCCTAGCTCAAGGTAAAGACAAAAGGCTATGCCTACTATACTAGGGTGTTCCCTTCCCTATGATGCTCGAGTAATGTCTGATTTTTTCACCGGAATATAGTTTTGGATAGGCCATTGAATCACAGGGCAGTTGTTTAAATGCATCTGCCACTTCGAAAAATAATGTTATTTTTGTCCTGTTCATGCACAAGGGAATCTCTGGTATAATCCCACCCCTCTCTCCCCACAAAAAAAAAAAAACCTCCTGCCCTCATCATTAAAAAAGAAAGATAATCTAATAATTTGTTTATGTGCCCTAAAGCCAAAATCAGACAGTGTGGTAGGACGCAGCCCCACGTGATTTGTAGTCATGACAGGTCTATGTGAGTTAAACACCGACGTAGGTGTGCATCGGGAACAGTTACGTCGTAGAATATTAAACATATTTAATAATCCCACGACAACCCAAAGACTGTCGCCAAAAATAAATCATGTTGGACTGCGACATACAACACTGTCCGAGTTTGGCTTATTAGCAATATATAATACAGTATGGTACATTTTTTTTTATTTTAAAAATCCCTACTCTACCCTAAAACATCAACAAATAAATAATTAAATATATGATTACTTATCACAGGTGCAGATTTAGAGGGGGCCCCACTTTTGGAAAGTCAAAAAAAAAAAAAAAAAAGGAAAAAAAAAAAAAAAAAAAAAAAAAATCTTGACTCTAAAAGTACTGTACTTGCACTTTCCAAAAACTTAGGCTTGAAATGTCCAATTTGAATGAATGACCACTCATTTTAAAGATCACATACTCAGGTATTTGAAAATACCAATAACTTGAATTTCAATTTTTGCTACAACTTAGCCATTTTGCCACAACATGCCTCATATATTTAAAACATAACATGTTAAAATCGATTAAAACAATGGCAGTGGTGTTATCGAAAATTAGCTTGGTTTGAACAGGTTTTGACGTAGGCAACTCTACATGATATGGTACTGTGCTCCATTCTTTCTGAACTTGGCTTTCTTTTTCTTTTTTTTTTCCGGGAGAGGAAGAGGGAATCAGCTATCCCCTCCCCTCCCCCGTGCTCCCTGGATGGTTTATTAAATGATTGTTTGATAATTCTTAATTACATTCCTATATTGGCAAAGCTTCATCATTGAAACAGGGAGTTGTTATATAGAAAATAACAACTCCCTGATTGAAACAATCAATACATTCATGCAGAATAAACTGATGTAACCTAGGACTAGTTAGGCCTACATTACAGACTCTTTTAAAAGCGGCTAATGAAATATGCACAGTAACAGGTCTGCCCAGCACAGCAAACGGGACAGAAAAAAAAAAACGACAACTTGAAGAACCTTCAGCCTACTGCAGGCTAGGCCTAGCTAGGAGCCAGTAGCATACAAGCGAGGTTTAGCCTAGGCTAGGACTAGGGGCCTAGGCCTAGCCTAGCACTGTCGCTTCTTCTTGGGCAACAGCTGGAGTATTCATTTGCATTATACTATTCGGTCCGACAATAAATTCCAGCTCGACAAGTTCGATTAAGAAGACAGATAAATAATTATTTAAATCATACCTTTGAAATTATAATGCTAAAACGCATTAAACTGAATCTTGTTATTTAAATATATTTATTCTTGTTGTTTATATCTTCTCTTGATTAACATTGCTGTATTCGACTGGTACATTTCGAACACATTTTTGTTTAGTATTCGATAGCTGTATTTCGGCTGATGTTGTCAAAGCGTGCGGAACCCCCGAACAGTGATGATGCTATTATAGTAGGCCATGCCTATAAATGTGTACCCGATACTATAATTGTAAAGTTGTAAATAGAAAGCAAGGAAACAGGGAGATCGATGTTACAGTATATACTCACAATATCATTAACTTTAACAGCTTCAATATACGAATAGGCCTATTACCTAAAAATTCTAATAATATTTATTATTACCGTAATAATTATGATTAATAAATGATATTTAGCCTATTAATTAGGCCTAATATTAACAAGGTATTATTCAGGTATTGATTGCCAATTTAACACAAACATTAAGTTGTAATATTTCAATAAAACAAATAGGCCTATAACCATGCCTATTCCCGTGACAGTGTCAATTTTAATTTACTACATTCAGTACTTCACTTTTAGTACAGGCTAAATGTGACAAAAATCCTATTTAACCTTAAACAAACTCTAATAAAAGGACTGTTTGCATATTCTTGTAGGCCTATATTTGTAAAGTCATGAACAAATTTTTGTCACCTTTTTATAGTTGCGTTTACAAAATATTCAGGGTCAAAGGTTAATTACCTGTATGCAGCATGTTCCAGGTCATAACTCTTCAACTACTTGCTCTAAAAGCACAAAAATGGTGTCTACACCGAGCTTTTTCGGGACAACAATTATGGGAAATTTTTGACGCCTTATACTAGCTGCGTTGACCAAAAATTCTGGGTCAAAAATCAGAATAGCTTTTATATAGCATGTTTCGGGTCATAAATCCTTAATTACTTCGTCTCAAAGCACGAAAATTGTGTCAACACATAGATTGTTGGGGTTCAACATTTATGGAAACATTTTTACCGCCTTCTAGTAGCGGTGTTGACTAAAAATTTAGGGTCAAAGGTCAGTGACCTTTATACAACTATGATCGTCATAACTCCTCAACCAGTCTAACTCTGTCTCTTATACACATCTAGATGTGTATAAGAGACAGATTTTATGAAGCAATTTTTTTAAATTTCATATGGGAATAGAAACAGAGAACATTGAAATAGAACGTGCCCACAAAAGTGAATTAAGTATACCAAAATAATGTTTTCTAATGTAATTTAGGTCATAGATTCCAAAAATGACAGTAAATTGGACAGGTATTGACTCGTTCAAAAGTTATTGGGTCAAAGGTCAAATAAGACATAATCTGGGAAAGGGTGTTGCCTGTGTGATAAATGTGAAAAAAAGAAACATTTTTGACATATTTTTGGGCGTAGAATCCGAATTTGATTGTTGATTGGTCCAGGGAGGGGTATTTTTCGAGATATGGGGGTCAAAGGTCAAATTCAGCATATTTAGGAAGGGGTCCCAAAAGTGCATTATTTTACAAAATGAATGTTTTCGATGTAATTTAGGTCATAGATTCGAGAAAGAATGACAGTTGGACAGGTGTGGGGTTCATTCAAAAGTTATGGGTCAAAGTTCAAATAGAATATAATCTGGGAAGTGGTGTTACAGGTGTGTGTGTGTGTGATAAATATACAGAAGAAACATTGTTGACATTTTTTGGGCTCAGAATCTAAATTTGGTTGTTAATCGGGCCAGGGAGATGATTTCAATATAGGAAAGGTCAAAGTATAAGAAGGGGTTACAAATATTCCTACATATACCAAAATAATGTTTTACAATGTAATTTTGGTCGTAGATGTCAGCATATGAAATATAGGTGTTTAATCGACCACAAGTCTCAAAATTCAAGGATGCCCTTTTAGAACTTACAGGATTGATGTCCTCAAACAGTGAGAAAAGGGATTGTAGGCCCTCGGATTATCAGATCTGAGAAAAAGGTGAAGTCTGTTCTCAAAATACTACAAGATGATAGAATACAGATTAAAAACCTCTACAACCACGTTCTTCTCATTATTGAAGCTGGAAAAAATTAATTCTTGATTGAATTCTTTAAAGAAGAAGAAGGTATTGGCTAAAGGTAGAATTGTAACATTTTTTGAGAGAGACATTTTAGGAAAGCTGCTCGTTAACGCAAACCGTCAAGGTTCAAGTATTGACTTCAACAAGGCATTAACATACTGTCTTACACCGGCAAATGCTGATGGGACGAGAAGAACTACAGTAAGGAGCAAGCTCTTGAAAGTAGTAGAGGAATACACACCAATTATCTATTACTCCGGATTGCATCAGAGGTTTCTGCATACATAGTCGATCGGATGGCCACATATTCGATTACTCACATTTAAGGAGCTGGGGATAAGGCTGTTGAATCAATTGCCTAAGAAGTACGGTCCCGTAGATGTGATTGTTGATGCATACGAAACAAAGTCTATTAAAAGTGGGAAACAAAACGACCGTGGGATATATAGTGCTCTTTTTTTCATAAATTCGGTAAACACTAAAATAACAAGGAATTTTTCAAGCTTCTTGACGAATGGGTCAACAATTATCATACAATCCCCTTCAGGTGATACTGATATAATTGTTATTCTATTGGCACTCTTTGCTGAATGTGACCAGATTATGACAATGGGCATGGAAACAGCAGGAAAATCTATGATCTCAAAGGAAGCGACATATCTAAAGAAATTAAAGAAGCTCTCCTCGGTCTACATTCTTTTACAGGTAATGAATATGTGTCGACATTTTTTCAGGAAAGGGAAAATGACGTGTTGGAAAGTGCTGAAGAACTTTCCAAGATTTAATAACACATTGGTAGCACTTGGAAAAAGTTGGATTGTAACCGATGGACTTTATAATAACTTAGAAGAGCTTGTGTGCAAGCTGTATGGACTTAAGAAAATAAAAGACGTACACGCCGCAAGGCAACATCTGTTTTGGGAAAAATAACAAAAGTTGTAAATTTGTAGACCTTATCTTCTTACCACCCTGTAAAGAATGCCTGTATCTACACATACAGAGATCCAATTATGTCTGCCGTTTATGGAGGCAATCGTGTGTCCCCATAATTGATGCTCCAAATCCACAGAATCATGGGTGGACCGCTGACAGCGAAATTCTTTGGACAAATGTTGTGATGTCAGATGATCTGATCGAATTACTTACTGAAACAAGTGAAGGAAGTGAAGGTTACAGTGACAGTGAAAGTGAAATTGACGACAAATCATTAGAAGTAGACATAGAGGATGAAATGTCGGAGAGTGAGGATGAATTTTAAGGTACTTAACATTAAAGTTTTAAACATCTACGACCAAAATTACATTGTAAAACATTATTTTGGTATTCATCACACACACCTGTAATACCACTTCCCAGATTATATTTTATTTGAAGTTTGACCCCAATAACTTTTGAACGAACCCTACACCTGTCCAACTGTCATTTTTTCTCGAATATATGACCTAAATTACATTGAAAATATTATTTTCGTAAACTATTGCACTTTTAGGACCCCTTTCTTAAATATGCCAAATTTGACCTTTGACCCCGCATATCTCGAAAAATACCCCTCCCTTGACCAATCAACAATCAGATTCCCATTCTACGCACAAAAACATGTCAGAAATGTTTCTTTTTTCACATTTATCACACAGGCAACACCCTTTCCCAGATTATGTCTTATTTGACCTTTGACCCCAATAACTTTTGAACGACTCCAAACCTGTCCAATTTACTGTCATTTTTGGAATCTATGACCTAAATTACATCAGAAAACATTATTTTGGTACACTAATTCACTTTTGTGATCCCCTTCCTTAAATATGCCAGATTTGACCTTTGACCCCACATATCTCAAAAAATCCCCCTCCCCGGACCGATCAACAATCAGATTCGTAATCTACGTCAAAAAATACATTAGAAAAAGTTGGTCTGGTAAATTCTGCAAAAATGTGACACCTTCCTCCAAATCCGACCAGTCTATGACGGTTGGTAACTATGGCATAGATAACTGCCGGCCCTATGTAAAATTGGTAAAAATGCACCTGATCGGACATAGAGACACTGAGCCTTTAATGGGGTCTACTCAGGCGACACTCTTAATGCTCATACATTCTGAGATATTTTAAAACAGATACGGCATTTCAGAAATATCTAAAAAATATTTTGTTTAAAAAATTCAAGAATATTGAGAACAGACTATGGTCAAGTTATATAAGCCTATATGTTATCGTTTAGGGCCTATTAGGCATTTCATGAATCTATGATATATTATAATATTGATAACATTAATAGAACATGTATAGGTGGAATTTTGTCCAACCCGTCGTGAAATGTAGGCCTACTGAATAGGCCTACTTAATGCGTCTGAAAACACTTGTAAAAATAGTACTCGCCGCTATTTGGGCTCGAATTCAGCCCTGGCCATCAGGTGCAAGCTCGGTGGTCTAGAGGTATGATGCCAGACTAGTGATCTGGAACTGGAGAACTGTGTTCGAGTCCCACTGGAGAACAACTTCCACACGCACTGATTATTCAGTACATTTTCACGACAAGTTGGGCAAAATTACATATATAGTCCCCCCTAATTGATTCTCCTGACGCAAATCCAGGTATTGTTTATTCCATCACGATAATAACAATTACCATTTAATAATAGAACAGTCATCTCGACCTACTTGCAGTGAAGTGAATCTAAAATGTATT